TTCTCTTTTTCTCTTTCTTAAGCGTTTTCTCCCTTCCCCTCCCTCCCCCCATATCTTTCCAACGCACGAGAGTTATAACAATCTTTTTTTTTTTTTTTTCAACTATCACAAAATCTAAAATCTTCAACTCAAATCCTATGAACGAATTTTTTTCTATTTTTCAGGAATGATGATAAATTTATTGATAATAAAAAAAAAAAAAGAAGGAAAAAGTTAGTAGTCGACTTATGGAGAAATTTGTTAACTTTAAAAATGAGAAATAATTTAGGTTAATTAATTAATTAATTTTTATTTAGCACCAACTGTTCAAGATTTAATTTCATTTTAAGTTTTATAAACTAAAGAATATTGAAAATTGTTATAATTGCGAGAAGAAATAAAATAATAATTAATAGTTTGTATCGTACCTCTTCTTCTTTTTATTTTTTTTTATTTATTTTTTTAATCTTATTTTGTACATTTTCAAAGCCCCAAAATTAGTCAAATTTCAAACCCCATGGAAAGTTTTGGCCGTAACTTTTAGCCCCAATTGAATTATTAATTTTTTTTTTTTTTTTACATATTTTTTGCTCTCATTTTTCTTCTATTATAAATTATTTGATGACGTGTAAGAGTAACACGTATTTTACACGAACAACAACAACGTGTATATAGCCGAAGGGAAACGCATAATTTTACTTGCTCGTTTCCGCCAACCTGATGTTGGCTGGCAAGCGTTGTCACTTAGCTGAATTAAAAAACAAAAACAGCTGCACATTTTGTTTCTCTCTCTCTCTCTCTCTCTCTCTCTCTCTCTCTCTCTTTTATAATATTTTATTTATATTACATAAAATGTAAAAAAAACAACACGATTTTACAAAAGATCGACGTTAATTGTATTATTATCCATTATTTATTGATTTTATGTATATTGATTCCTAATTTGTATTTTTTTCTTGTATTTTTTTTTTACAGTTCGTCGAGTTAGGTATTGTTTCAAGTATAGAATACAATCACAAAGCAGTGGAATCAGCTCGCAAAGGGCAAGAAGTGTGTATCAAGATCGAACCGATACAAGGTGAAGCACCGAAAATGTTTGGTCGTCATTTCGATGAGAAAGATTTCGTCATTAGCAAGGTAAGCATACTCATAAACAATTTTTTACTTTTAACACTTTACCGATCGTTAAAGTACCAACCAACAACACATATGCACCTCTGACTGACCAATGATAATAACTCTTTATCACAATGTCAACCGATTACTAAGTTTTCGATAAATGACAAAAAGCTGATTAATAAATTTTTATTTGGTAATCGTCGGTGACCAAAAAAAAAAAAAGCCTATTTATAGGCCTAGTGGTCGTTAAAGTGTTTAACTTTTTCAAAACGTTTTTTCAAATGTCTACAAAATTAATTTTCAATCCTATAAAAAGAAGAATATTTGTTTTTTATTTGCTTCCACCATTACAGAATAAAATATTGAGGAATCTCTGGCAGGGGGGGTGTGGTGGTGGTGTAACAATTCGACCTATCTACTCTAATTTTGAATTCAGCCACCAGATAGCGTATTCAGTGCTAGCTAGAGATCCCACCACGTGGCGTAGTAATAATTCGACCTATCTACTCGAATTTTGAATGTAGCTACAAGATAGCGTATTCAAATGCTAGAGATTCCAATATTTCATAATCTTTTCATTTATTTTCAGCATGAATAATAATAAATAATAAATAAATATTAAAAAAAAAAAACAAGACTGCGTAATTAAAAAGGGAATTTCCCCCGATTAACAAATTAACATTTAAATTCCTACAAATAATATTATTATATAGGATTAAATAGCGTGATGCGAAAAAAAAACGCATCAGGAGTTAATTTGGGACCGGTCAAAGTGTTAATTAGCAAAAATAAATGAAAAGAAAAAAGTAAGAAGTCCAAAAGGCTAAAACGATTTCCACGAAATCTAATAGTCGAACGAAGAGAAAATAACACAGAGAGAGAGAGAGAGAGAGAGACTATGTCCGTCAGTCATCAGACCCATCATCATGAATTCTACGATTGGTGTTGATTACGATCGGCATTTTCTACGTGGCGCATTCGACACAACCAACAACGATGACGACAATGACGACACCAAGTTGTTGGGTTGCTCTGTTGCGATAGATGAATACCCGTTTCATTGTCCATTTAATTCTTAAAACGTCATATATTGGGTTGCATTTCAGCCTTTTAAGTCTTTCTACTTGCCAATTAACTGGCCCATATCTAGACTTCCTTCCTTAGCCTCCCTCACTCACAATTACCTTTTAACTCAACCTCAACCTCATCTCCACACACACACACTCACACACACACCCCTTGCACTCTCATCATCGCTACCATCGTCGATTTTTAACCGATATCCTTACTCTCTGACAAGATAAAAGATGGCCAAGAAGAAAATAAAAAGAAAATGATGATAATGACGAAGATTATAAGGACGACGACGACGACGATGATGATGATAATGATAATGATGATGATGATGATGATGATAATGATAATGATGATGATGATGATGAAGAGAGAAAGAGATAGAAGTGGAAGCCTGAAGAAAGGAGGAGGAGGGAAAGAGGAAAGAGACTCGTCGAGCTTCTGCGAAGACCGGAAGCGCTGGCGGACGGCTGATCGCCACCGGACGTGCATCTTCCTTTTTTGATACAGATCTTGCATACTAATTGTAAGTCGAATTTGCACCGAGCTAAAGCCTCGCCTCTTTTTATTTTCTTTTTTTTTTTTCTTCTTCTTCTTCTTCTTTTTCTTCTTTACCCTTTTTTTTCGCCCTACCTCCATCGGCCCATCCCTCAACCCTCCCCCTCCCCTCTCCCTCGCCCTTTTCCTATCGTGTGTATCTTTCAATATAACATTTTTACATCTGTATGTTGTGTATCGCTAAAGTATTAGTCGCAATTTTTTCTTTTTGTTTTTGAATTTTTTGAAAATTTTGAATTTTCAGAAAAACAAAGGAAGAATTTTTATTGCGGTCTGATTTGATTTTAATGATTAATTTTTAATAATAAAATATTATTTATCTTTGAAAAATTGAGATTTGTTTTTCGATTAGATTAAATCTGTTCAAATTTTATTGGGATCTCTAGTTAGCACTTGAATACGCTATCTGGTGGCTAAATTCAAAATTAGAGTAGGTAGGTCGAATTATTACGCCATCACACCCCTGCCAGAGATTCCCCAGTATATTTTTTCGTTTATTTATATATATAAAGTACAAAGGTTTGTACCTTTAGCTTTAAAGCAATAATACGTTTGACGTATTTATACGTCTCTCTCTCTCTCTCTCTCTCTCTCTCTTTCTCTTTCTCTTGTCCAGTTAACAGGTTAAAAGAGACAGAAGAAAAAGAGGAAATTTTGAAAGTAAATTATTTAAACATCTTCTTCTTCTTCTTCTTCTTCTTCTTGTTCTTTTTGTTCGTGTTTTTTTCTATAAACCTTTTCCCAAGGTCTCAAGGAAGAAAACGGTATCACGTCGGTTCTTCGATACAACAAGTAAAGTGAAAGAGAGAAAGAGAGAAAGAGAGAGAGAGAGAGAGGAAGAGAGGAAGGGAGAAAGGGTACATGTGGCGTGCCTGCCTAACTCTCTATCCTCTAGCCTCTCTCTCTCTCTCTCTCTCTCTCTTTTTTTTCCTCTCTTCCCCACTAAGTGGGGGAAGAGGGGTCCCCCTTACTCTCGGTGTATCTACGTCTCTTCCTCGTCGTGCTTCAGGCACCTTTGTGCCGCTCGCTAGGCGAGCGGAAGTCGTCGTTACCGTTTGGTTCGTAGAATCAATTCCGGAAGTACCTTGTTCTCACGATGATTTGTGGTGCGACGACTTCGCACCCTCCTAGCTCGTATACACATACTACTATCCCATTACTACACATAGTCTCCAAATATTCTTCTTCTCTCTCGCTCTTCTTATCTCTTCTTTGCTTGCTTGTATTAAAAGGAAAATATCTAATTGAGATTTTAATCATTTTTTTTTTCTTTTTCATTTGATACAATTATAATCGATGTTTAAAATCCAATAGGGTGGTGGTAAGTTTGGTCTATAACATCTGTCGTCTTATTTTTGGTTTCTGTATTTTTTTTTCTTTTTTTTTTGGTGAAATCATAGTGAATCAACTTTGATCGAAATTTTTGCCATGATTATTTAAGTTACAGTAATATTATCATTGCTCTGTACGATTTACCATAAAACTGTAATGGGGTCAAATTTGTTCGAACAACAAACAATCTCTGATTTACACTGGTTAGAATTAATTTGGTATCTACTTTTCTCTTTTTTTTTTTTTTCGTGGAAAAATTTTTTAAAATTGTTCTTATCGAGAATACGTGATATATATATATATATATATATTTATATGAATGCGATAAAATAAAAAGAAAAGAGACAAGAAAAAGGAAAAGGAAAAGAGAACAATATATGCGCTTGTGTTAAGGGTTTAATTAGATGTTTAAAAGACATTTTCGTATAAAAAGATTTTCTAATTTGTTCTTATCGGTAATATGTGTGTGTGTATGTGACATAATCAAACGACTGTTGAGATAAATAGAAAAGAAAAAAAAAAAAAAAGAAAAAAAAGAGGAAGAGAGTCATGTTCAAATGTCAATGTTCATGACTTCTTAACTCTCATCTCTATCATTGTGTTGTTCTACATTGTATTTCTTCTCTTCGTCGGATACTACATCTGCACGTTCGAAAGCTCGCGTGGGTATTGTGTCGTAGCGTAGTGTGGTGGTGGTAGTAGTGTAGTGTAGTTGAGAGCGTAGTGCGAGAGAGCACGAAAAGGTACGACGGAACAAACGAACAAATAAGTGAGAGAAATAGAGATGGTGTGTGCTGATGGTGGTGGTGGTGGTGGTGGTGGCGGGGGGAGGGGAGCAAGTGAGCTCGAGCGAACGCGCCTTGCTGGCGTTTGTAGCTGTGCGCGGCGGGGAGAGGGGTGAGGTTGCGAGGAGAGGGTGGGGGAACGAGTGAGAGAGAGAGAGAGGTAGAGAAGGGGCGTGGCTGCGTAAAACCACCATTGTGACCGATCCATGAATGAAACGGGACTTCCGGCCGAGAGTGGGGGCGGAAACAGTTGTAAAGCGTCACGTTACTGAATGAACCGTATGCGCTGCGAGAGCAGCAGCAGCAGCAGCAGCATCTCTTTGGCGAAAAGCTATTCGAACGATTTTTGAAAGTAGGGGGAAAACGGATAGAAAAAAAATCTGCCTTGTGAAAAGATAAAAGAAGGAGGGGGGGAGGGGAAAAAGAAAAAAAAATAAGAATGAAAAATAAGAGAACGCTAATAGAAAGTAGGAGAGAAACATTTTTTGACATTCCACAAATTCTTTCTCTTTCTTTTTTTTTTTTGATATTTACTTATTTTATAATTATATTAATTTTATTGTTATATATTTTAATACGCGTTGCGTGTGCCAAGGTCATTCGTAAATGTGACGTTAATAAAAATTGTACAAAAAAATTAGGCAAATTAATGAATTTTTGTGAGGATAATAATATTAGAAGGAACCTGAAACGAAATAGGATACGAAGATCACGAATGGAGGGAGACCACCACGCTCAGGGACCGGGAACAATGGGCCCGAGATTTGGTATTTGCTACAATGAACTTTCGAGTTTCTAATGTCAGTTAATAAATAAAATAAATGAATTTTTCTAATGCAATATGTTTGTGTGCGCTACTTAAGGTTAAAGTGCCCTTTGTCTTTTGCGGCACGCAATATGTTAATAATAATACTCATAAATATTTGTAATAATTAAATCAATCCATGATGTTTGTTCTTGTATTTGTTACAGATAAGCAGACAAAGTATAGATGCCTGTAAGGATTACTTCAGGGACGATTTATTGAAAACCGATTGGCAATTAATGGTGGAATTAAAGAAACTATTTCAAATACTTTAGGATTCTTTCGCAATTTGCGCAAATCCTCGCGCGCCGACACCACCGTACACCGGCTGGCCGATTCTTAAGGGACGACGAGGCAATATTCAAACATATTTTTTGCTCGACAAAAATTACCACGCGAGAACAATATATATATATATATATATCATTATCATCGTCCTTGAGAATATTACAACAAAAAAAAAAAAAAGAAGAAGAAAAAAACAAGAAAAATAGTTTATAACAATAACAATAATAATCGTAATCGACGGCGCCCAATGTCCAAGACGACAATCCTCGAGTTTGTATTTGGAAAACGTCCCAAATTGCGATACCGAAATTTACTAACTGAACGATGATAAAAGAAGAAAAATACGAGAAATTACAAAATAAAGAGAGAGAGAGAGAGAATATATATATATATTTTTTTTAATTAATTTTTCTCTGTTAATTCGTGTCCTATATGTAAAATTGAATACTTTGGTCCAATGATAAATCATCTTCATCATAATCACCATGATCAATCGTCTTCGAAAATCAACGAAAATTTTAATGCTTACAAACGTACGTCCCCCTTTGTTTCCCCTCTCCTCTTTCTCCTTTCTCTCTCTCTCTCTTTCTCCCATTCGAAAAAATTGATGAATCTGTTAAAATATAGAGATGAAGCATTGCAATCATGAAACATGAAAAGGATAAACCGATCATACTTGAAGAAATCGCGTACGCGTTTTCTCTTTACAAGTACACGCGCGTGAGCGTGAGCGTGTGCGCGCGCGTGCACGCAAGCTTTCTTCGTATCCTCCTATGAGCAACAAGTTTTGTTGGTATTACTGTTGCTGTTGCTGCTGTTTGCTGTTAATATTGCTGGCTCGATTCCCCGTTACGATTCGACACACACACAACACACACTCGAGAGTCGAGTTTCTTGCGATCGGTGAATATATCGTTACGTGTAGTTGTCTATTCGCTAAGGGAGAAAGAGAGAGAGAGAGATAGATAGAGAAAAAGATTAAGAGAAAAAGAGAGGAAAGATTTTACTGGAAAAGGAGAAGACTTCCATCAGACTTCGTCAACTTGTATTTCTTTTCTTTTTGTTTTGTTTCATTCTCTCTCTCTCTCTCTCTCTCTCTCTCTCCTCCTCCTCCTCCCTCTCTTTTTCTCTCTTTCTCTTTCTATTTATCCTTCGTCGACTTTTTCAATGTGAAGAAGAAGAAGAAGAAGGTGCCAACATGGTCGACGACGTATTTCTCCTTGTCTCGCACATTTTCTTCCTCATCATATACTTCGACTCCAAAAGTTAGTTGTGTAGTTAATCCTTAAAGAGACGAATAGAGAGACACACAATTTAGATAGAACGAATAAAAACTTAAGAAAGAGAGAGACAGAGAGATAGAGAGATAGAGGGAGAGAGAGAGAGAGAGCGAATACGCAAGTAAGTAAGAATGTAAATATATATGTGTGTGAGTGTTCGTGTATGAGTGGGTGTGTGTCGTACGTACGGTCATCGACCATAGTCTCAAATGAAACATATGGTACACACGGATACATCTCTCTCTCTCTCTCACTCTTTGAAAAACCGTATGTGAACCAAATAAAAAAAACAAAAAAAAACAAAAAAAAATTATTACAAAAAGTAAGAAAAAAGAAAACGAAGATAAGAAGAAGAAAAACGTAACGTTGGTAAAACTTATTACATCGACAGTCAAATGAAAAGGATATAACACGAATATAACGAACGACGAAAAGTGGTGAACGATGAAGAAGAGACCGAGAAGCCATTACCACGTTCGTGCCTTCTTCTTCGTAGAGGAAAAGAGAAAAATACAGGGAAAGAGAGAGATAGAGAGAGAGAGAGAAAGAAAGAAGTAAAGCTTGAGGAGTCGTCGGACTCGCCTATAAACTTGCCTTGATACTCACGATCATTCTTGGAAGAGAGGAGCGTGTCTCTGGTATAAATTCTCATCGACGTATTTCCGGTTTTGTCGCCTAAGAACGCGCACGTATGAGTCCCGAGGGTTAAAAACGATAGAACAGCAAGGAACCAAGTAAGAAAAAAAGAGAGAAATAGAGAGAGAGAGAGAGAAGAGAGAGATAGATAGAGAGAAAAAATCGAATAGAAAAAGAAAGAAGAACGGGGTGGGGGGGGATAGAAAAATAGATAGCTCGAAAGAGAGACAGGGTGTGCTTGTGTGCGCCGCCGCGCATGTACGCCTCTGTGTGTGTTGTGTGTTTGTCTCTGTGTGTATGTGTACTTGCGCGCTAGAAAAGGAGAGAGAAGAAATCAAAGAATTGATATGACTGTATAAAAAAAAAAAAAAAAGAAAAAAAACATTCAAACTTTATGACAAATAAATGCAAGAAAAAATGATGATAACAAAAGATGAATCTATAATAAAATGAAATCACTGTTTAAATATGCATAATAATAATAATAATAATAATAATAATAATAATAATAATAATAATAATTTAAAAGAAATCATGTAAAAGGAAGATCGTGAAAGTGGATGATTTGAAACAAAGAGTAGGAGGAGGAAGGGTAGGGGGGTTGGGTGGGTAAGAAGAAGAAGAAGAAGAAGAAGTAAATTGATAGAACAAAAAAAGAAAAAGGAATCAATGTGTTTTGTATATGTACTCCCTTTGTATAAATCAACCAAGTTAATTAATGCGAGGATAATAATAAAGAGTACGTGTTTCACAATAAAATGATGCATCTGTATGATCTATTTGTATATATTTTACATTTATTTTCATGACCAATAACTATTTTTAATTTATTTCTAAAGAATAATAAAGGAAAATTTGTGCGTCAATGCATGAAAGAAAACTACAAAGGTAAGTTGTAAATTGTTTTTAATAAAAACGATTGATTATTTGAACTAACTTTTGTTTATTTTCTAAGATGGTCAAATAATTTTGAACAAAAACGTATATTTTGATGTGCTTTTTTAATATTGTAATATATAGTTGTGACAGTAAGAGAAAATGTTTGTTTTGGAATATAAAATGAAGCATTTGCTCGATTGGCATAAACATACACCACCCTTTTCAGCATTCGGAATCTTTTTCAACACCTTATTGTCGTTGTCAGCACCTGCACCGAATAAAAACTCTTTCAGGAAATCGATTGGCTAGATAAACACGTATGCTTTCTCGATAGCTAGTTAGATATATTATAGTTAGTTATTCTATTGCTACTTGGAGATTGTTATTCGAGAACGAATGAATGAACGAACGAACGAACGAACGGATGTCCGTCGTCGTTGTCGTTGTTGTCGTTGTCGTCATCGTCATCGTTGACGTTGAGATCACGTCGTTCGTTCTTGGCCAAGCTTACAACGAAAGAGATTATGTAAGTCATTTGTGCTGCTAATTATGATAGTGGACTAATTATATGTCGAGATATTGATAACATTGATCTTACGATTTATTTTAGATTTATTTTATTAATGCCATTAAATATATAATAAATATATATCTTATATATATATATATAT